TACGATAGTTCCCTATCCAAGTCTCGGAGGTGGTAATAATACTATGCAATCTAAAATTGCCTTGCCAGCTTCATCTACCAGCACATTGCTGTAAGATGGTAAAATTACAGACTAACTAGTCGATTAAGTTAACCGGCTAACAAATTCTAAATATCGCAAACGAGGCTTAGTATTAAAATGGATAAAAATTGAATCTCATCCGATCTAGTCTTCGAGTCATCCCTTTACGAGGCTAATGGAATGCAAGTCTTCTCCAAAGTAGACAGTAAATGGTTAAATTGGACCATGAGTGTATTGAAAGCAAGTAAGAAATGGGAGAGAAAATAAAGAAAAGGAAACGCAGAGATCTTCAATATATCTTGCTTTAGGTGGAGTTGTGAATGCGCCCATTACTAGTCTAGTGAGAAATCGATAACTATTACCACTTGGCAATTATGATAGCGAGAACTAATGCGTCAGCGAAAATCACTTGATAGGATGCTGTGAAGACGGGGTGTGGGATAGACTTACCTCCACGTGGTGCACCCTGGGCAACGTATTCCCATACGGCAAAAAATCTATTAACAGGCAGTTGACTTCTCACTTCAAACTACCATCACCCCCACTGTATGTCATATTCGACTTCTTCCACACTACTCATCTTTCCCTTTCTGAGCCTCTGTGTCTGTCTGTTTATTTTACATCTGTGAATCACTCTCCTATTCCCCCTCCCGGATTCTTCTCACTATGATGTTCCTCCCCCCCTTTGCGAAGCCCGAAGTTAACTAAAGGGCTAATGATAACGATCAAAACGTCTGCCATTTGTTATAAATAAATAAATGCTGTTAAGACAAGATTGGCTTACACCAAATTAGCTTCGCAAAGTTAGAATATTATGATATTAAGTAAAGCTCTAATGATTAAGGGAGACCCTAATTGCGCTAATTTGACTATTCAAGCGTTCAAATTCCATCTCGTGATCGGAACTTGTAGGCTGCATTTATATGGAAAAGATATAGCAAACAGGTTAAAGTACATAGTTTATGAATAAACTTCCTTACAGTGTTAGATATTGGTAAACACTAGCCCAATGACATTTACTTGAACGGTAGAGAGCGGACTAATACTGATTAAGTAAAATAGTTTGGCGTCTAAGGTGAGTGAAAAAAGCTTTTGACAAGTCACAGTCTGTTGCCTTGTATGCAGATATTAATAAATGCGGTTTCATAGTGCATTGCCATTGGCTTCCTTCTGCACCATTAACCAATCGTAACTCAGTACCGCAGTGATATCATTAGTGTTAAATTTAAAGCCATTATGCTTTTGTATCCCTATGGGGAAGACAAATAGTCTCTAACTTTACAGACTCGATAAGGTTAATGGTTTGAGGCATAAACAACTCTATTAGATTCACTAGGTGCTAATCTGACTGGATTACTAGGTATCTTTTGTTTACGGAAGTTATGACTGCTTTAATTACGGTTAGACACGCCTGAAGCACTGATTTGCTGAAATAATAAATAGAATGCAAGGGTACTAGTTTTGCCGAAAGATAAAACGAGCGAAAATTATGGCCACTCAGATCAAATTTGGCTTCAAACCTGTCCCTCATTCGCAACGATCAGCAAGGACTCGGGCTTTCTTCAAATCAATGATAGTCGAAACGCCATCCTCAATCCTTACATCAGACTCAGTGGAAATACCTTCAAAATATGTTACCTATTTAATAAAAGAACAGCACCCGAGTACTACTGATCTGCGAAGAGAAGTAGAAACTCAATCCGCTGATGAGATTCTCGACTATTGCATCTTTCTCTAGTCTTGTATTTGCTACCATCTCTTATTAGTAAATTGACATTATCTTAAAGGCATTACCTAATGGTGATTAATGTACAGTAGTTAAGATCTGCGAGAAGTCAGATTCTGCTTGAAGGCGTCTCAACATCAGCAAATTTAAAGTTCACGGCAGTGACGAAAAATTTGTCTTCGGTTCGGAATGGGAGTGCTATACATATGCAGGCAATGGAGATCAATACAAACAGATCGCCATGAGAATGACGGGAAGAAAAAAAGTGGTTTAGGAATGGTAAGTACATTACGCCTGAATGGAAAATAGGCAAAACGTGAGCCGAAGAGCACCATTAGATCGAATTAGGCCAGTTGACACAGCTGGTAAACATAGATTAGAGGGCTATTGAACTTATGCATGAAGGACATCAAAAATTCGTGACATAAAACAAATCGGGGAATAAGTTGGCAATATGGACAACATACGAACCAATTAACTCTCCTTCCAGCTAATGTCACCGTCTCGATCTTCATGTGGATGGGGAACGCTTATCACGAGCAAAATTAAGCGAAAGGAGAAATCGAAATATCCTAATTATTTCATTTCCTAAGTCAGTGACAGTTGAGACACACCACTAAGAAAATATAGTGATACCAACTGCTTCCAAAACGAGAACTCATCAACATTAATTGTCTCTGATATGACCTGGCTGTAAAAATAAAATATGAATATTGGGGGCATAAATCATTTGTAAAAGATGAAGACCTGGTGTATCAGTGGGAGAGAGTTAAATCCCTCAAATAAAAGCAATCTTAACTTCAACCGAAATAAGAGAAAATGAAGACAGGCACAGCGACATCCATCTGGACCACCAATAAAAAAGCACTCCGAATTGTAGGAACACGATTTAGAGGCCTTGCGAAGACCAAAAAAAATAAACTCTTTAAAGGAAGACACCATTCCTCCGGGAAAAAAACTCAACTAAGTTCCAGCCCACGTTAACAAATAGTCAAACGAATATCTGGAACGGACTAAATAAAATTGGTCGCATTCTTGACCACACTATAAAGTACAAGGAAATTATTCAAAACAAAACACAACCAAGGCAAAATTGGGTAATACTTACCGTCTAGTCGACATATCCACACAATAAGCTTCGTACGAAAACGAAGACAACGGCGAAACAATCAGACAAAATACACCAGAACCAATATCAACTGTCAATCGACACCAAGATCTATGCTTATCGCAGTATTGCAATTGAGAACAAGGGACTCCTCATTTAAAGAATTGCCCAACAAACACATTTATCTCACACTAACGTTATTGTAAAAAAAGAGAAGACAAAGTTACATATATGAATATACATCTTTTGACTCCTATTTTTTCGTAGTTAACATTTATTCCGCGTGCACACAAGTGGAGCGGTATCAGTAACAAGCCCGCTACTTAAGGGCCGGGAAGTCAGTGTCACTATCCATACGAGGAGCAGCACTTTGCTGATGATGTTTACCACGGAAAGCTCCTTCAGGATGATCAAAACCACCTCCACGGCCTCCTCGACGAAATCCGCCACGACCACCCTCTGGACGACCTCCACGTTCACCGGCAGAGAACCCTCCTCTAGGTCCGCCTGCCCCACGTGCGGAACCCCGTGCACCACCGCGGAAGGACCGCTCGCCATCTTGTGTTGAACCACCACGGCCTCTACCTCCACGATCCGATGTAAAACCACCTCTACCGCCGCGATCCGATGAAAAACCACCTCGACCACCTGTTCCACGTCCTCGGAATGGACGTCCGCTTTCACCACCACGACCTCTTCCACGCCGATCATTAGTTGGTTTAGGCTCCTCCATTTCATTGACTTTCTCTTCAGAAGCTGCTTTTGGTTCATCAGCAGTAGCTTCGTCATGTTGTTCAACAGGTTTGCGGTCTCTAGGCGGATCGTTTCTTGGCCCACCTCTACCTCCTCGCCCTCCTCTTGGTCCGCCCCTTGGAAATGGTCGACTAGAGTTACTGGCACCACCACGACCGAACATGAAGAAAGTTGGCTTATCGGCTTCTTGTTCAGCTTCCTTAGGATCCTCAAGAACCACTTCTACTTTGGTTTCAACCGGTTGTGAATCATGCAAAACAACCATGTCACTGAAAACGTTTTTGCCATCATTAGGTCGTCGAACCTTGCTAGTTGCCAAAGTGACGCTAGGCTTTTTCTTCATTTCTTTATATTCTTTAAGAGTGTAAGTCTTCGGCTGCTCCTCAACAGGTGCTTGAGTAGCGGATTGCTCCGGGGCTTCTTCTTCTTCCACAGGTTGATCGACGTTAATTTCCTCAGTTTGAGCTTCAAGCTCATCTTCCATAGTTCCCCAATTTGACTTTCCATAACCATCTTTCTTCGGAACGGCTTTGACTCCCCTATAAAATGAAAAGTTTTAAGCCGTAGTCGCAACATTAAGCCAAAATAGGGTTACAATTTTTGACATTAGGCATAAATGACGAAGCCACTTTAAATCAAAATGCACTTACGTCTTGTCAGACCCAGAGCGACGATCCTTTCTTTGATCTGCGGGCCCAGGCTTTCCACCCTTGGAGCGATCATTCCTGGAAGTTTCAGTAGGATTTTGATTGCCTTTTTTAACATCCCCTAGACTCTCCATCTGAGATCCTGCCTCTTTGACATTAGCCTTCTCAATTACTTCCAGTTTAGCTAAATATCATTATTGATTTAAGGAACCATACCCTTGCCAGATGAACGTCTATCGCGTTTTTCACGCGGCTTTGCTGCCTTGGAAGAATCCTCAACGTTAAAACCATCCTTGGCAAAGAGATCGAAACGACTTTTAACCTGGACGGTATACTTATAATCATGCACTGTACTGCCCATCTTAACACAAATTGCGCCCTAGAGGCACGATTTTGCCGAATGACGGAAATTGCAAGAATCCGCCCTGAGGAAAGTAAAACACTATCTCTGTGTCAAAATATAAAATTATGAATAGTTTTACTTAAATATTTTTATGAATATAAATATTGTCTTATTTAGTAAACATTTCATATATGCATAATGAAAATATCAGTATATCTTGACATTATATATTTATAATTTGCTTTTCATTTATGATTTCGATTTTATTTTTTGGACATAAAATAATAATAGAAAAGTCTTAGTTGTTAATTTTTTGATACGCTTGATAGTTTTTATTTAATGCCTGTTTTATTCACCGTTTCTATTAAACCCAGTGATTTCGGTTCTGATAAATCAATTTTCCATAGCTTATTCCAAGTATAAATTTTGTAACTAGTAACATAGTTCAGATTTTAATAAATAGGTTCATTTTCCATGCGTGTCTCGATCCTTATATCCGGAATTAAGCACCTTTAAAATTTCAGTGTGCCTTTGCATTATCTAGGTTAAAGATTATATGTCCCATTTTAGCATATGGTATAAACGTTTAATTTCAGTGCTTGCTTTTATGATCTTCCCCAATTATCAATGTCAAATGATTATATTTCATTCAATTAAAATCAGATATTTGGAGAAAATGTCATTTCGGTGCCTAGGTAATTGACAAAATAGCAAACCTATTTTAAATAATTTTGCCAAATACTCGGGTTAAACATGCTGTCAACAGAAAATTTAGGTCGACTATCAATTGGGGGGTATTTAGTTCCCCTGAAAAAAAGAGAACAAAAAATTTATATCAAGGCGTTCATTTTTTATTTGTATCTAAATTGTTTTATGTGGTGACATCGTTTTACAGAAATGAAATTTCTTACAAATTTCACGATACGTGTTAGAAAATATACTTTAACAATTTATGACGTACACTGTTCATATATACTTAAATAAGTAAACAGTAAAAAATTGTGATAAAATTAAAAAAAATGTCTCCCAAATTTCAATGTTAGATTATTTTTCATAAAATATTGTAATAACCACAGATATATTAATTTTCTATTAAGCTTAAACACTATTTATTTTTCACAGAAGCCTTATTTGTGAAACAATACGGTAGGTTGCTCCGCTCATTTGGCATGACAAGCACGTTAACTACTTTATCACCAAGGCATTTGCCATCCATTGGGACCTAGGAAAGAGACTTTGGGCTGGAGTTTTGCATGACGGTAACTGAAAATCTTTCAATAAATAAGACTAGCCATTGCAGCATAGGGGATTACTGTAATTTAAATAAATAATGATAAGACTCATTTCAAAGTTTTCAACAACGAAAGTCCAATTTTTAGTTGGAATAGAAAATGCTCTAGTGTTCGTATGCGAAGTCAGTGATCAGAGCTGAATGGGCACTCACACTGAATAAAGTTGACTTATAAAGTGATCATTAACATTCAAATTTTCGAATTAGCGACTCTAGGGCATTATTTTTCCAGATAATTAATAATATTGAACGACTTCCTAAGTGATTTTTTTAATATACATTTTTTCTGAAAGATTGGTCAAATTAACAATGGACGATCCCAAGTCTATCCAACCCCATCTAGTTCGAAACATGCTTGATCTTCAAGAATGTCTAATTTAAAGTGATGGTTCAAAAAAATTAATTTTATTGGGTTTGCCAAGCCTACGATTATAAAATCGTAATTTTACATATGAGCTTTTGTCAAAATGCATGAACTATTATTTTGGTCAATTATTATCTTCATGCAATAAATTTTACTTTACTCAAACATGGTTAACAAATTACAACGTTGATTATAGTAATTGCGCAGTAACCAGACTCAAAGGCCTAACCAATAAATCTTCAAGTCAACGCTATCGTTTGGGCAAAATATCGTAGTGTTAACATTTCGATAATTAATTTATATCAAATAGCAGACTTAATGATTATTAACATTAGCCCTTTAGTTGTCTTCGGACTTCACAGAGGGGAGGAACATTAAAGTCCCAAGAAGTGGTGGTGGTGGTAGCAGAGGCAAGAGGAAGAGTAGGAGGAGGTTGAGGATGAGAAGTGGGAGGAGTGGGAGTGTGAGGAGGACTAGGGTGATTGTGTGGATGGTGAGGAGATGGAGGTGGAGGCGTATGTGGAGAAGGTGGTAGAGGAGGGGGTGGAGGAGGTGGTGGAGGAGGTTTTTGGGCAATCTTGTGTTTCTTGTGGTCAATAAGATTGGATGACGCAGTGAATTTGTCATCACGGATTTCACACACCAAGGACTTTCCATCGGTTGTGCAGGTACTGTCGGTTGGGATGCACTTGGTGTCGTTTGGACAATCAAGTTGCTCTTCTCTCGAATGGACTTTGAGATTGCGAACAATCAACGTTGGTCGTGGGAATTTCTTGTAGCGAATTGGGCAGTGTGTGTGGAGCTTGGAGCCTCTGATGTGTTTCTTAGTGGTGATCAAAGAAATTGCTAGGTGTGTTTCCTCGGAGATGAAGAAGAAGGAAGTGGATGAAAGGGTGGAGACAATAATTGAGGATGAGGGGGAGGAGATTGTGAAGGAGAGATGAGCGGAGTAGGAGGCGAGTGTGAATTCAGTCTCGTGGGGAGTTGAGGAGTGTTGTGTTAGGTGATGTTGGAGGTGGGGGAGAGGTGGGAGAGAAGGAGAGGAATGAGAGGAGGCAGAGGAGGGAAATGTGGGAGAGGTAGGCGAGTTGTGGTAGTCTGCGTAAATGGAAGAATTGTTTGGTTTGTGAAGAAGAATGGAGTGGCACATTGGAGCTGAATGTGGAGTTGGTGGTGAAGGTTGTGGTGAAGGTGGACGTGGTGGCAATTTGGTAGAGTGTGGAAGGCAGATTTTAGTAGAAATTGGAAGAATCTGATGATGGGAATGATAATTGGCACGATTGTTGTTGAAGGAATAATTTGAGCAGCGGAAAGTTGGTTTGGGGAGAGAGGCAGGAGTCGATGGAGAGCAAGAGAAAGTAGGAGTTGGATGAGAGGGGAAAGGTTGAGGTGGAGGATTGAAAGGAGGTGGAGATGCAGGGGAAATGGGGTGGGAAGTGGGAGAGGAAGTGGAGGAAATCGAGATGGAGTTATCGAGGGAGGTAGTGAAGGTGGTGAGGTGGAGGTGAGGAGGGCTAGCTGGGAGAGGGAGGGAACGTGATGCAGAGAAGAGAGAGTTCCTGTTGGAATGGAGCTCAATGAAGAAGGAGAGGAGATTGATGAGAGTGGTGGAATTGACGATGGAAATGAAGGCATAGGAGGAGTTGGTAGAAGTGAAGTGAGAGGATTGGATATGTGTACACTGGAGTTATTGCTTGAGGAGGGAAGAGGTGATGCGTTTCAAGTAGATTTAAAGAATGAGGTGAAGGAATAGGAGGAATGGCAGTAGAAAAAGGATGCGATGAAGAGGTGAAATGGTGAAGAGGAGGTAGAAGAGAGGTTGGATAATAATGGGAAATCTTGGTGTTGAGAAGTACAGGCTTCGTCTGTGTAGGAGGAAGTGGTTGAAATGGACAATTTACAGTGTGAGAGAAGGACATGTTGGCAATGGGAGTGCCAGTTGTATTATGACGTAAGTATCTTTCTGTGGGCAATATATAGATAGAATATGTGACAGTGATACAAGGTGCACGTCATATGTATTGAATGAGGCCACTTGGGGTGAGGTAATAACCGACGTAGCAACTGATTAATTGGCCCAGCACAACCTTATGATCTACAAACAATTCAAGATTCTAGCTGAGTTTTTGCTCTCCTAACTTCTTACAGATCTTGGCATACAATGAAGTGGGGGAAAAATCTCCTTCTGGGGAGTTGTCACGACACCAAAGAGGCTAATGGGACTAAATGTGGTTGTATGGATGTAATCTAATGTATTTGCTGGCAGAGCTGTCCATGTAGTGTGAGAGAGGGTGCGCGATAAACTTACCTCCACGTGGTCCACCCGGCAGTTGACTTCTGACTTCAAACTACCATGACCCCATTGTATATCATATTCGACCACTTCCACAGTACTCGTTTCACCTTTTCCCGACTCTCTACCTTTACGTCTGCCCCTTTTACATCTCTGAATCACTTTTCTGTTCTCCCCCCCCCCCCATCGAGTTTTTGTAACTTTGATAGCCTTAACTCAATTCAAAAAACCTCCAGAAACTTATAAAATGCATTATTATTTAATTAGCCTTTTTTGCAATAGATTTTAATTCAAGGCTAATTTTAGTCCTCACGAATTAATAGATTGTTGAAAAGCTCAATTTGCCATATATTTTGAGCGAATACCAAATGTGTATGGGTGAAAGTGCGAACTATTAAACTACCCTTCCAAAAATTAGTTCATCATATGCAAACTCTGGTGAGTTTCATGTTTATTCGGGGTGTGCGATAGACTTACCTCCACGTGGTGCACCCTGGGCAACGTATACTCATGCGGCAAAAAGGTCTATTAACTGGAAGTTGACTTCTCACTTCAAACTACCATCACCCCACTCTACGTCATATTCGACTTCTTCCACAGTGCTCACCTCACCTTTTTTCTAACTTTGTGTCTGTCTCTTTTACATCTTTAAAGCACTCTTCTGTTCACCCTCCTCTCTCGACTTTTTTTCGATTTGATGTACCTTCCTCTCTGTGAAGCCTGAAGTCAACTAAAGGGCTAATGATAACTATCATAAAGCCTGTCATTTGATATAAATAAGTAATAAATAATGTTTATTCACGCCTTTTTGACTCTTCAATGACTACAAGAATTAAAATGACATGAAAACTCATTCAGTTAATAATCTTCGAAAAGAAATCGTAATCTAATTAATTGAATATTGCATGGTGAATAACACCCATTATAAAGATGTACGGCTCAATTTTCCAGGTCTACCTAAAACTATGACCCTTGTCTCCTAAAATTTGACCGTCCCATGCTGGACGATCTTGTTAATGGTCGTATACAGATGCCATCTTATGACTTAAACTTGTTTAGTCGTGGTTGCC